GACTGATCGATCTGCACATCCAGAAGGGGCTCCTCGGTCAAGTCGACTGACTCCTCCACCCTATTCTGCTCGAGCGGAGGTTCCTGTAATTGCTATCTGGGGCTTGTCGAACGGACGGGCGCCTTTCCTTTCCCAGCATGCTTTAGTGTGACGGAATAACACTCTTTGGCTGCGACCTGATCCCCCCGAATGTCTATTACTTTATCTCCATCGGGCCCGAGGCACCTCATGACCTGATGCAGAGTTGAGGGTACACCTCGGACTCTGTGAATCCATCCTCTTCCCATCAGGAGATTATACGAGGGGTGAATTTCCACAACCACAAAAGTTTCCATAAGAGCTCGTTCTGCAGCTTGAACTTCCACTTCCACCATCCCGACGGGTTCCACCCTCTTCCCATCGAACCCTAATAAGGGATTTCCGGTGGGCTTGAGCCTCTCTGGTTTAATGTCGAGCCTGTCAAATGTGTCCCTCGGCATGACATTCGCACTGCTCCCAGGATCGATCAGAACTCTGCGCACCAAGCAATCTGCCACTGTCAAACTGACTACCAACGGGTCGTCATGAGGCAGTTGAACACGCTGCAGGTCTGTCCAGTCGAACTTTATCTGCATTGACGGGCTCTGCTGGTGTAGAGTAGTCACATTGCCGACCCTTTTCTTCATCTGCGCCTGCCGCAGGCGCACCCGGAGCAGCTCATCTGACTCTTCACTAGGCTCGGGTCGACCATGGATAGCATTGATTATACGAACTGGTTGCGAATTGTGGGAGCTTTGTTTATGACTCCTTTTTATTTGTTCCACCGGTCGATTCTGCTCCATCGCCGAACCTTGAACACAACTCGCAAACTCCCCTCTAGCTATCAACATCTCCACTTGCCTCCTCAGGTTCCTGCATTCGTTAGTCTGATGACCGAAATCAGAATGAAAAGCACAATGTTTAGTTTGATCCCTCTGTTCGAGGGGTTGCCTAATTGGCAGTGGTGGATGAAACTTGTCTTTGTTCTCCTGATACAGCCTCGCCAGAGTGACCTTCAGCGGAGTAATCAACTCTTCCTCCCTGGACCTTTTTTCGGCCTTCCAGGTGGTCTGACGTTGCGGCTGAGCCTGCTTCTGCCTGATCTTTGCCTTGGACTTTTCCTCGGTCGACACAATCGACGTTGTCCGAGCATTAGCTGCCTCCTCTTCTTCTAGGCGCACAAAGCCATCGGCTCTCTCATTGAGTTCATCCATAGTAGTCGGCGTGTTCACTACCAGACTGGTGTGAAATGGAGTTCCGCGTGTCATGGCTAACTTGAAGGCTTGAACTGCCGTTGAAGGGTGGCATTCGATCACCATACTCTTAGTGAGATTAAACCTGGTAAGAAAGGCCTGGAGACGTTCATCCTTGTGCTGCCGCATCGTGAATAGGCTCGAGATGTCCTTCGGCGGGCGTTTGTTCCCATAGTACTGGCTTATGAACCGATCGCACAGGTCTCTGAAACTACCAATGGAGCTCCTAGGCAAGTTTTTGAACCAGCTGAGCGCCGGTCCGGCCAGGCTTGTAGGGAAACATTTGCACATTAAAGAGTCGTTTTCCGTATTCAGGGCCATTTTCAACTGGATATGATACACATGGTCGATCGGATCGGTCGTTCCGTCAAACAGAATAAAGACTGGCATAGCAAACTTCCTTGGATGCGGCGCATTCAAGATCTCGTCGGTGAATGGCGAATCCACCGTCCGAGCTGCGGATCGGAGAGCTTCATTCTCTCTCTGGAGTCCAGCGGTAGCTCTGTGAGTTACGGTTCTGCCCTCCGAACCGTGATGAGTGACAGTAACCATGGAGGGCCGGTAAGACGGATCGAACGACCGTTCCTCTATGAACTCTCTTTGCCAAGGCGACGCTACTCGACGGCGATCAACCTCCATCACTTCCTCTCGGTCAAACCTTTCCCGCTGCGGATCAACGTGAGTCGATCCTTCGTGATCTTCAACTTGACGAACATTTGGCGGCAAATTGTCCATCATCCTTTCATCACGGTGGTGAGCTGACTGATTGTTCTCGTCCTGATCGCCTTGATGCGCGATATTAGATTGAACACCTCCTTCTCCGACCGGAAGTGGATGCGAAACCGCAGGTATTTGCCGATGCTGCAGTCCAGCTTTCAATTCTGCATTTTCTTTTTTGAGAGCTTCAATCAAGTTCATCAATTCTTCAAGCTTTGTTTGCTGGACAGCCTCCATCGGATTGGAGCTTTCACCTATCATTATTCCCGAACGGAGTAAAGGCATTAATCTCAAGTTCGCGAGTAGATCTGAGCTTCGTGAGTAGGAATTTTTAGATCTGGCTTCTAATTCTCCGGATTATGCTCACTGTTTACGAGATCTGAATTGTCTGAACTCTAAATCCGTCAGATCCTGCCACAATCGAACAACTCGTAGATCTGAAGTCACTCCAAAGCTTCAAGAATTGTAATTCCTCCAGAGCAGGTCACAATCGCTCAGCTCTGGATTCAAATCCCAAAGATCGAGTCTCGATCAACCGAATTGGTTTGAATCCATTCGATATTCCTCATTGATCAACCAAACTTCCATGCGTTTCCCACAGACGGCGCCAATTGAAGATGCATGAAATTCCTTCTCCTCCTTCTCTCTCTAGAATTCTTACACCTCAAAACCCAAAAAGATCCCCCTCCATTTCATTCCATCTCCTATTTATAGATATTTACAAGATATTTACAAGATATTTACTAGATATTTACTGATTGCTGGATCTGGGCCTATTCCTTCGTAAGCCTTGGTCACCTTTGATGGGCTTACTCTCGTTCGGCCCATATGGCAGTGTCCTTCTATGGGCTGGCCCAGCTGTACGGACTGAATGCTATGTTTGCGAGTCGGATCTGGCCCATGTCATCCGGGGCCTCCTCAGTTTAGAAGGAGGAAGAAAAAGGAAGAAGAATTCTTGCTGGGATTTTCATACAAAGATAATTGAGGTAGGGTTGCTCTAACCTTGGTTGCTTTGGTGATTTTACTTAAGTCGATCTCTTGATATTGCTATGAATCTTTGCTGTACCTAATTCTTGTTTATATCTTTCTGTTTTGAGTTGTTCCATGCTTTGGTCCTTTGATTTTCCACCATCTGTTGAATTCCTTATTACTTTGTTGAGAGGTATCTTGTATACATATGTTGACATGCCCATGCACTCATCCTTGGTATCATGCTCTTTTGGTTTCATGAAATCTCTTAGCAACCTTTGCTAGTGTAATTTCTACTGGCACTTCTAGTCTCACCCTACCATCATTGCAGGTTTCTATGATCATTGGAGAACAATTGGAGTTGCTGGAAACTGTGTAATAGGAGACCATCTAGTCTTGTATACCAAATGCTTGACAAAATGTTTGTAACAAAGGTTATATAATGACTATGATGTATTTGAAGCCAGATTATTCTATATATATAGACTGAGATTATATTTTGTAAAGGGTGAATTTAAATGTGTTCAATTGTGGGCTGAAATTGGTGTGGGTTGTTGGTGATTGGTGGCTGTTCTAGGTTGGGCTATACTCCTTAGTAGTTTTCGTTTCAAATTATCTTTTAGTCTTCCTTTATTACAAAATTTTTATAAGGAGTTGTGGTGCTCCAAATGCATTCAAATTTTTACCACAACTACTCCCATATGTCTAGTAACTCTCTGCAAAATTTCGTAATTTTTGGATGAACAATTTTTTATTTTAAAAAAATCCGATAATGCCAGCTGTCCGTTGTTTGTTGCTGCTGGAAACCAATTTAAATGGTTTATTTAAATAACTTCTTGACACCGGATCATTACCAAAATTTTCAGTTTTATACTCCCATGAATCTACTTTCAAAATAAATTGAGTTTTCCTTGTTCTGAGTTCAAATGAATTTTCTACGAATTTTTAATGTGCGCAGAATTCTTTCCAACAGGAGGCAGCACTTGTTTATTTGTTTATTTTGTGACCTGGATTTTATCAGAGTAGCACAGCGGGATGTTGTTTGATATTATCGTTGCATTTAATTGATGATATTTCCATATAGTTGAGGACTTTTATGGATTCTTTATGATATTGTTTGTGTGGATGTCGGACTACAGTTTGTCACAGCCCCTAGTTTGGGTACATGACCAAATACATATTGCTTATTTCTTTTTTGTTATAAAATACAAAAAAACTTGCCTACCAAGGGTAAGAAAACAAAAAAGATTTATATAAAACCATTTTGAGTTCATAATAAACTATATGTATATAACCCAAAGGGGTTGCTTCAAGTGGGTAAGAACTTGGCCCTAGTGCCTTATGAAGCATTGGGTCTAAGGTTTGAATCCCCTCTTTGGTGCAAACAATTCTTTGAAGGGGGTATCAATCGAAGGGGGCTTGTTTGCAAGAAATGCCTTCGATAATGTTCTAGGGAATGCTTTTTTGCTTTGTTGCCCACCGAAATCCATTTGCGTGAATCTTATGCCAGTCACACTACCTGCTTGATAGAGATAAGGGGTGTTCAGTCCGGAGCTTCCCCATAATTTCACTTGCCCCACTAAGCCTTATTGATGAACAAAACATCCCCAAATCTATTGCTCAAGATCAATCTAAAACTACTTCTCCACAAACACATACAGGAGGCTCAGGAGCAAAGGGCAAAATAAATAAATAAATAAATAATACACAAATAATTGTGTTTGTGGAATTGAGTTTTATGGGTTAATTTGCACGATTTTGATAGTTGTAGTACTGACTTGTTCACTTTTGTAATCCAGAGGTAAATTGTCGATTTGTAATAGATCAGGGGTTGTTTGCACTTTTGCCAAAGATTAATAAGCTAAATTTCAATTTTAGATAAGGGTAAGAAAATAAGACAAAATAAGAGAAAAATTGAATCTTGTGTCTCTGTTATCTGATCAGCTAAACATAGCATTGATTACACATATAAGAAAAACAATTATCTTTGAATTGCAAGAATATGAAGCCATAAATGGATACAGAGATTGAGAGAGAGATAACCTTCAGTTAAGCGAGTAATTTTGGAGAGATCAATGCGAGAAACAGATTCGAGGTCAAGGCCAGAACGGACATCATCAGGCAACCTCGCCAGAAAATCGTTCCTAAGCGAGTTGACCGAGTTCCGGCGACCGAATCGCACTCGCTGCCCTTCGCTAGCAGCCGCCTCCGCCAACAGCGGCGATTTCGCATCCGAGTACCCCTCCATCCGATTCCTATCCCTCGGCATCACTCACAAACACAAACAGTCACGGCATTGCATGTATATTTTTATATATATATATATATATAAATATTTTTTTATGTATATATATATATATATATATGTTTGTGAGGCCCACAATCTTAAGTCATCCAATGACATTGTTGGTTTAAGGGGAAAGCTCAATTTTTACTTACAGTGAAAGCCTTATTGGCTTGCGAAGAAAGTTCAGTTCTTGCTTATAGTAAAAGTATATATACATATATATTCATTACAAGGTATGAGCACGAGACTTTATCAACTGACAAGAAAATTCTATTTTTCTTTCTCACTTCAAAGGGTAAGAAAAATAATTATTTACATTAACCTGTTGTTGTTCAAATTTTAGATATAATTAAAATTGTTGAGCATGCATTCTCACAAATACTTATTTATTTATTTATTTATATTAGAATATTTTTATCCATTCTTTATAGAAAAGTAAATTGCTGAGCCCGAAGTCTCGCAAATACTAAATTATTTATATTTAATTGGCAAACTCGAAGTTTTGCATATATTAATATACTCTTTGTGAGCATGAAGTTTCACGAATATTTGATATAGTATATTTACTGACAATTCATATTATATTTGCTAAATATCTTGTTACAATCTTTTGCATGTTACTTCATGTACATTATTATACATATAACTTAACTTAGATTTGAATACGTAATAGAAAAACGAAAAAAAAAAATGAAAAAAAAAAAAAATACCACAAGATTCGAGCCGTGCCCCTTTAATGTGCAAGTTGAGTTAACAAGCCACTTGTTCTGTTGTGATTACAAATTGACTATTATATGGTATCACCACTATGCAAATCATATTATAGTGACTGCAATATTTTTATAATCTCAAATTGATCATTCTTTTTATGAAATAATTCTAACTATGTTATTTTATCATTTGTAGTTCCTTCATAATGTCAAATCTTACCAAGCTTGAATTTGTGGCACTTGATATCTCGGGCAAAAACTACTTGTCATGGATCCTTGATGCCGAGATCCACTTGGATGCTGTGAATCTCAGAGAAACAATTAATGAAGAAAATAATGCATCCCTGCAGGACCGCGCGAAAACTATGATCTTTCTTCGCCATCACCTCTATGAGGAATTAAAAACAGAGTACCTCATGGTTAAGGATCCACTTACACTGTGGAAAAATTTGAAAGAACGATATGAGCATCAAAAAACTGTGATCCTTCCAAAAACTCGCTATGACTGGATCCACCTGCGATTATAGGATTTTAAAAGTATAAGTGAGTACAATTCAGCCTTGTTTAAAATCAGCTCACAGTTGAAATTATGTGGAGAAAAAATTACTGATGATGAAATGTTAGAAAAAACATACTCCACATTTTATGCCTCAAATGTGCTCCTGCAGCAGCAATATAGAGAGCGAAGATTTACAAAATATTCTGAACTGATTTCTTGTTTGTTGGTGGCTGAACAGAATAATGAGCTTTTAATGAAAAACCACCAGTCCCGTCTAACTGGATCTGTACCATTCCCAGAAGCGAATGTGTCCTCATTTCACGGCCATGGACATGGACACGGATGTAGTGTTGGCCATGGATATGGTCACAATAAAAATAATTATAACAATCGTGGTGGTCATAATTCCTCATTGATTCCCAGAAGGAACTCCACACCGTCCCACCAGAAGTGAAATTCAAATGCGACCAAGCAAGCAAAAGGAAAAGCTTTGCAGAACAAAGCTCCTGAGATATATGATGACAAGCCTTGCTATAGGTGTGGAATGAAAGGTCATTGGTCGCGTACTTGTCGTACGCCCAAACATCTAGCTGATCTTTACCGTGCCTCAATGAATGATAAGGGAAAACGAAAAGAAATTAAAATGAATTTTGTGGATGACGACTTGCCAATTGATATTAGTCATCTTGATGTTTCTGACTTCTTTGCTGATCCTAGTGGTAGTATTGATCATTTGATTGGTGATGGAAATGTCCATACTAATTAATGTGTCCTTTTCTATCATGTTATCCTTTGTGTGTTTTATCTTATTTGCATCAGTATGTTTAAATTTTCATTGTATCAATATGTCTCTATCTAGGTTGCACCAGTATGTTTTTATTTTGGCTATCTTGTATGTAAAATTAGTTTGTATTTCAAGTTTGAAATAATGAAATATATATTTTGTGTGTATGAAGAAGTATGGATTTGACTAAGGCATTGACTGTACCTAAGATAAATGGTGAAGATATATGTCTGGCAGACAGTGCAACAACGCACACTATACTCTAAGATAGAAAATATTTTTCGCGTATAACATTAGTTGAAGCTAGTGTCAATACAATATCAGGTCCAGCAGACCTAATTGAAGGCTTCGGAATAGCTATCATTGTGTTACCATGTGGAACAAAATTGAATATTGATGATGCTCTATACTCTACCAAATTTAAAAGAAATTTATTAAGTTTTAAAGATATACGTCTCAACGGTTGTCATATTGAGACTATAAATGAAGGGGCCGTTGAATATCTCTGTATTACATGCCAGAAGCATGTATTAGAAAAACTCCCTGTTTAATCTTCTGGATTATATTATACAAATATAAGAGTAATTGAGTCGCATGCAGTGACACACCAGAAGTGCTCTGACCCAAATATTTTTATACTTTGACATGATCGCCTTGGTGATCCTGGGTCAACAATGATGTGCCGAATCATTAAAAATTCACATGGTCATCCACTAAAGAACCAGAAGATTTTTTTAGCAAATGATTATCCTTGTATCGCTTGCTCACAAGGTAAATTAATAGTTAGACCATCACCTTCTAAGGTCGTCGTTGAATGCCTACCATTTTTACAACGAATTCAAGGGGATTTATATGGACTAATTCATCCAGCGTGTGGACCATTTCGGTATTTTATGGTCTTAATTGATGCATCAACACGGTGCTCACACGTAAATTTACTTTTTACTTGTAATGTTGCATTTGCTCGACTCCTTGCTTAAATAATCCGCTTACGAGCACAATTTCTGGATTATCTAATCCAGACTATCCGTCTTGATAATGCCAGGGAATTCACATCTCAATCCTTTGATGACTATTGTATGTCAATTGGCTTTCTTATTGAACATCCTGTTGCACATACTCACACCCAAAATGGTCTTGCAGAATCTTTTATCAAACGTCTTCAGTTAATAGCTAGACCATTACTCATGAGAACTAAACTACTTGTTTCTGGTTGGGGACATGTGATATAACATGTAGCATCACTAGTTCGCATTAGACCAACTGCATATCATAGTTTTTCACCAATACAACTTGTGATTGGTCAATAACCAAGTATCTCTCACTTACGAGTTTTCGGTTGCGCTGTATATTTCCCATTGCACCCCCACAATGCACCAAAATGGGTCCTTAACGACGACTTGGTATTTATGTAGGTTTTGATATCTTGAACCTATGACAGGTGATTTTTTAAGGCGCGGTTTACTGACTGTCATTTCGATGAGGCTGTTTTCCCTCCATTAGGGGGGGAAAAGAAAAAGCCAGAAGAGTAATGATTTATTAATTGGAATGTCTCGACTTTATCTCATTTCGATCCTCGCACAAATCAATGTGAACTAGAAGTTCAAATGATCATTCATTTGCAAAGTATTGCAAATCAATTACCCGATGCATTCACTAACACAAAGAAAGTGATGAAATCACATATACCAGTTGCAAACATTCCAGCAAGAATTGATGTCCCTGTAGGACAGTCTGTCAGTGTTATTGCAAATGCATCTAAGACACGCCAGAAGTGTGGTAGACCAGTCGGTGCAAAAGATACTGTTCCCCGGAAGAGGAAAGCACAAGAAAAATCAAATAAAGAAATTGGCGCTCCTGAAGAGGTCACACTTGCAAAAGGAACAATGAAAATGATTGATTAATCTAAATTTTATAAGCAAGTAGCCCCAGAAGATATGCATGCCCCGGAAGTGGTACATGCCCCGGAAGTGGCACAAGCCCCTAAAGAGGCACTGGTACCTGAAAATAATGGGATCTCAATAAACTATAGAGAATTGTGGGATAGAAATACAGTTATTATTAGCGATATATTCTCCTTTGTAGTTGCTCTTGATATTGCAAGTGATAGTGACAATCCTGAACCTCAAAACATCGAAGAGTGTTGATGTAGAAATGATTGGCCAAAATGGAAAGAAGTAATATAGGCAGAGCTAAACTCATTAGCAAAATGTGAAGTATTTGGACTTGTAGTCCAGACACCTTAAGATGTCATGCCTGTAGGGTATAAATGGGTATTTGTAAGGAAATATAATGAGAAAAATGAAATTGTAAGATACAAAGCCCGACTTATAGCTTAAGGTTTCTCACAGAGACTTGGTATTGATTATGAGGAGATATACTCTTCTATGATGGATGCAATCACATTTCCCTTCTTGATCAGTTTGACAGTCTCAGAAGCACTGGATATGCGTCTGTTGGACGTGGTTACAACTTATTTATATGGATCACTAGATAGTGACATATATATGAAAATCCCTTAAGGATTTAAAATGCCTGAAGCAAATAGCTTGAAACCACGTACAATGTATTCAATCAAGCTACAACGATCCTTGTACGGATTAAAATAATCCGGGCGCATGTGGTACAATCGACTCAGCAAGTATTTATTAAAAGAAGGATATGTGAATAATCAAGTTTGTCCAAGCATTTTCATCAAGAAATTAAAATCTGGATTTGCCATTATAGTTGTATATGTTGACGATCTAAATCTTGTGGGAACTCCTGAAAAGCTCACCATGACTGCTAATTATTTAAAGAAAGAATTCAAAATGAAAGATCTTGGTAAAACAAAATTTTGTCTCGGTTTGCAGATCGAACATTTACCAAGTGGAATTCTTATCTATCAGTCAACATACACTGAAAAAGTCTTAAAGCGCTTTTATATGGATAAAGCTCACCCCTTGAGTCCTCTAATGATTGTTCGATCACTTGATGTTAAGAAAGATCTTTTTCATCCTCAAGA